TAAACCTCAATTGCCCACAGCATATCAATGTAGTCTTTAATTAGTTTTCACCTTCACCAACTCACTTCTTCAATCCCTCTTCTGTTGCCTAGGATCACTTCTTAAATAAGCTCTTTGTAGCCAAATCCTTGCTTTGAGGACTTATGAAAACGAAGTGATTATACAAAGATTGCACATCAGAATTAGATAGCCTGTGTTGACCAATATGGTTGTCCTTGGCCTGTAACCACTGCTCTAAACTTGTTTCCTGTGAATTCTCTCCAGGATGCAGTGAAAATTTCTCTTGAGCACACTTCAGTTTTGGCAGAGAAGACACTTTTTGTCATAAATCCCTTTTCTTCTGGGCACCTTATATAGTCATTCCTCACTATCCATGGAGGATTGATTCCAGGAACTCCCATGGATAACAAAATTCATGGATGCTCAAATCTCTGATATAAAATAACAGTATTTCCATATAACCTATGCACATCTTCCTGTATACTTTAAGTAATTTTGAGATTACTTATAATACCAAATAGAAGGTGAATGCTATGAAAATAGTTGCTGCACTGTATTGTGTTTTACTTGTATCATTTTTTATTATTGTATTGTTATTTTTTTCCCCCAGAATATTTTCAATCTGCAGTTGGTTGAATCATAGACGTGGAACCCACAGATACAGAGGACCAACTGTCATTTAAATAAAGCTGCTGAGAAATACCATCAAAATTAATCATTTTAACGTATTATTGAAGAGGGAAAAATAACTTGAGCATGATGACCATTCTTTTGGTGCCACTGGCAAACAATACAACTGAAGCACTGGTTAAATGGCTGTCACAAATAGCAAGAGGGATATTACCTTTGTACATAATGAAAGGACAAAGTTTCTTCTCCTGTAAATTCTAGAAATCTGTTATCCATTAAAAAAATAAATAACCAAATGAAATCCACAAATGCCCTTTATTTTACCATTGTAACAGTGATTTTTCATTCCTGGCACATAGCAGCATGATCTCAAATATGTAACTCATGAAAATTAGGGTTGTTTCTTAAAAAATTCTATTCAGCTCTGCTAGTTATAATGAGTTAGTATTTGTCAAACAGTTTTTATGCTTAAGTGAAAAGGAAATGATAAACAACCACCAAACTGCTAGATGCACTATCCCTTTGCTGGGTTTCATGACATGCCTCTTTGGCAAATCTGGACCCCAGGAGTAATCAGTGCGGATATGAAAATGAGCACATTATTTCACTGTTAACAGTCACTGCTAAGATGAAAGAGAAGGCATGGAGACCTACTGATGTTTTTATTTTTTTCTGCAATGATTAACTGAATAAAAACAGTATAGCCAAGGTACTAGAAATATAGAGCTTAATCACAGAGGTTTAGAACTTCATATTTCAAATGCATGCAGTTTATGAGAAGTGCTACAATGTCAACTCACAGCTCAAATAAGATGTCACACTTGACCTCCACTTTACTAATAGGAAAACTGAGGTTCACAGATGTAAATACTAAAGAAATAAACACACAAAAAAGAGTTCTTAGTCAAATAATGAAGGCATGGTAGGTACTTGCCACTGGGATCTCAAGTGTTTGAGGATGCATCTTATCGGCAAAATAGGTACTATCATAATCCCCTTTTCACAGATAAAGGAATTGAGATTGTTAAGGAACTGGCCCAGGGTCACAGAGCTTTTAAATTTCAGAGTCAACACTTGCTAGGTCTACCTCTGTGCTTTAATCTGATACCAGAGAGTGCAGAATGCTTTCAATAGTGCTATTGCCTATGGCCACAGTTACTGTTCAAGCAGTTCACAATTGCAATTTTGACAAAGAAAAAGCATAGAATAGCTGTTCATTCACCTTAAGCCAAAGCTTTTACATGTTGCAGCTGATTTAGACCATGGGTAGAAACTGGGTTTGGTTCCAGGTGTCACGGCTTTCTGAAAGCATCATTCATAATCTCCATCTATGATTTATCAGCTGTTTATCCTATATTTAGGAACCAAATGGGGGATAACAGAGTAACCTGTCTTTAGACTTACCAGGAAATGTCTTGAGAGTTTACCAAAATGGTTTGGTTTGTTTCCTTTTTTAGTTCTTAGAGAATACTTTGAAAAGATTATTTAAAATGCAGGTCCCAGTCTCCATCCTAAGTGATTCTGATTCCATGAGTGTGAGGTAGAGTCCAGGAATCTGAATATTTGAAACTCCAAAACCAAATATAATGGTTTCTTGACCACTACTCTCTACCTGCTTCTTGGAGGCAACCACTACCACTTTAGACTCTTAATATTTTATCTGGCATTTGTACATCTCTGTAATTCTCCAGTGCAATCAAGATAAATTACAAAGTGTCAGGGGTCTCCTAACCCACATCTCAAACTGCCCCTGGTGTTTCACGTTCGATATCAAGCAAATATTTGTTATGAACCCACTAGAGGAAGAAAAAGAACATTTATTAAGTCTTTACTATGTGCAAGGTCTTTACATGCAACATCTGATCATTGACTACTTTCTAGCACCCTGTGAAGTAGGTATTTCCCTAGTCACAGGTGTTCAAGGGGGCAGAGGTCAGATTTGAATCCAATCCAATTTGGCTGAAAACTTAATGCTTGTTTCAGGAAAGCACAGTGCAGAACTCTGGTAGCATCTAGATTCTCTGTCCTCAAAGAGCTTCCTACTTTGGGAAGGTTGGAGGGTAGAAGTGGGGAAGGGAGTATAAAATAGGGAGAAACCTTAGGAGGAACTCTGTAATACAATTCATTCCACCTATGTTTACTGATTACCTTTTCCAATCCAGGTCCAGTGCTAGGCACTGGAGATGCTATATGAATGGTTATCTTTCTTCCTTCTGTCCCTTCTCCCCTACGTGCTTGCTGCAGAGAGGGCAGAATGAGAAAATATGAGTAAAGACATTGAGGAATTGCTGATGAAAGATGTGGGCCCCAGAGCAGAGGATCAGACAGTTTTCCAGTTCAGACAGAAAAACTCCTAGGAGGCTGATAAGCCTGAAAAGCCTCCAAGTTAAGCACCAGTAGATAGTGAACCAATCAAAGACTGCCAAATGTACTTGGATGACCATCAGAAAGCCTCTCTCCACTCCCCTTTCAAAAATTCCACCCTAATAGAAAAACCTCATCCTAATAGAATACTCATCAATCAAAGATTGTCTTAAGAGTCTCTCCTTATCTCTATAAAACAAACACTTCTTTCAAATCCCTTCTAGTCTCATGTGGAAGGAAAGTGATAGTAGCCAACTCCCTTAATGTAGTAACCCTGAATAAACAGTCTTTGATTAATTCTATAGGTGGTCTTCCTTCTTTTGGCAAAAAGTTCAGAGCTCTCAACAAAGTTTAAACGTTCACTCTCAAACGTTAGCAAGTCTTTGCTCTATCCCAGCAGACCCAGTAGGGGTAATGATGAACAACACGGAAACTCAAATCCAATCTTGTCAAGAGGAGGGTGTTAAGGAGAGTGGTTAGAGTCCAGCTTTGGGGAATTCAATCACAAGCCATGTCACTCTTGGCAAGTTACATGACCTCAGAGTCATGCAAATGCCATGTAGAACTCTGTGGCCCAGTTTTCTCTCTGGCAAAATAGGAATAACAGTAGGACCCCCTTTGCAGGGCTTCTGTGAAGATGAAATGACTGACAACAGAGGCAACAGAGTATATGTATCAGCAAAGAGCATAGGTTTGCCACTGAATAAAAAAGAATCCACAAGTCTATACTGATACAAATGGATAAAATAATTCACTGATGAATGGTGTTAAAATGAACTAAATATGGCCTGAGAGGGACTCGGTACTTCTACATTTGAGTCCTGGTAGACCAACTATAGCCTAGCTTAATAGGTAGACAAGATTGAAAACCTAACGTAGAAGTATGCCTAAAACAATAGCTTAGTCTTGGCCAATCCCATTGGCCATACTTCAACTATTCATACATTGCTGAGTGTTCACACTGTATAAGGCAAAGGTCAAGGTGTAACTAATCCAGCCGTTCTGTACTTCACTTCCGATTCCTGTACATTTCCCTTTATGTATGTATGTATGTATGTATGTATATACATATGTATGTCTATAAATCATCTTCCACCACATGGTTGCACTGGAGGCTCTATGAATATGCTGTGATTCTGGGGGCTGCTTGATTTGCGAATCGTTCATTGCTCAATTAGACTCCTTTAAATTTAATTCAGCTGAAGATTTTATTTCATCAGTGGAGATGATGGAGAGACAATGAAGTTTTTCTTAGAGTGGAACACAAACTAATAAATGTAGGATCCAGTTAGACAACTGCCAACTTGCCACCATCATGGGAATAATTGATTTAATCAATCATCATCACCATCAAAAGATGCTAAATCTAGTGGGTAAACTTGTCTTAAAACAGACTAGAAATTCTGTTGAAATAAAAATCCTCAGCCCGCTGCTTTCCAAAGAGAGAAGCTAAGAAAGAAGCTAGTAGCAATAGCTGTCTACTTCTGTTAAATTGTACCGTTTTTCATGATCATATACTCAAGAACGAGTAAGGTTAAAAAAAACATATAAAATAGTGCTGAATTTAGGGGTGGGTGGAAGGGATGTGAATCTCATCTCTTATCAGAACTGCCGCCCCTGGCAAGTTACTTAACCTCTGTGTATATCAGTTTTCTCTTCTGCAAAATGGGGATAGTACACTTGTACGCACTTAAAAGGTTGCCACGAAAACTAAACAAATTTATATTTGTCCAGTGCTTCGTACATATTCAGTAACTTTGCTCTTGTTTTTATTACGTGTGCAATGCTTAGACTCGTGTAAACTCTGTGAAAGGGAAATAATCTTGGGATCCCCAAATCACTAAGCTAAAAGGAAAAGTTAAGGTGGGAACAGCTTAGGGCAAACCTGCCTCCCATTCTATTCAAAGTCATACATCTGCTCACAGACATAGATGCACAGCTGATTGCCTCCTTTGGAAAGGCTAACCAGAAACACGAAAGAATGCAACCCTTTGTCTCTTACCTACCTATTACCTGGAAGCCCTCTGCGGAGGGCGTCAGCTCCGTGAGCCACCCTTCCAGCTGCCACTGCCATGGCGAATATTCGCTTGTTTGGCCATCCCGGGATTGTTTGATACCCAAGACCGCAGGGCTTGGGCTCTGTCTTTGCTCGGGACTGTAAACCAGGAACTGCACAGTAGGCCCTGAGACCTTGGTACTGCTCCAAGTGAAGCAGAGCTGGGTGAGGGACCTAGGGCTCTGCGGCCTCAGGAACGCCCACGACCCGGGAACCCAGGGGGCCGGCCTGGCCCGCCTCTGCCTCCACCTCCTCCTCCTCCTCTTCCTGCCTTCGTCGGTTTCTCCCGGAGCCCTCCTCCTGCCGCTCCTCCTCCGCCTTCTTCCCCTGCCCTCACTCCCCCTGCGTCTGCCCCGTGCCGGGTTTCCTGTTTAAGATGGCGTCCCCCGCGGTAACGCAGGCCGGGAAGCTTCTGCGAGCCCTAGCGCTGCGGTCCCGCTTCCTGGCGGCCGCGTCCCAGGTGAGCGTGGCCTGGTGGCGGGAACTGCGGGCGCTAACAGCGGCGCCCACCTGCGCCGGGCTCCCCTCACCCCCTGCTGCTCCTGCTCCCCGCGTGGCCCCGTGCACGGCCCCTCGGGCGCCCCACTTCGGGACGCGACGCGGCGCTGCGCCCAGGAGCAGGAGCGACCCCCGCCCTAGTGTAGCGCAGGGGCGGCGCGGGGGCGGCCTCGGGTTGCCTCGGCATGTGAGCTACCCAATGCGCGGGAGTCGCCGCCGTCGGACCCCATGCTGACTACACTGAAGCAGGCGCTGGATGCAAGTTTAAGAAAAGTTTCTCGGACCAGGTTTTGGAGCCCTGAGGTTTTATTGTCATTCCTAATTCTGCTTTTCAAACGTCTCGCAGTAACCCTGAGCACATTTAGGCCACGAGATAAACATGTCTAGAAACCCATTTCATGCCCACTAGGAACTCACCCCCCAGGGTGGACTTCCTGCAGGCTACCTGCTTTTGCAGACTTTTAAGATCCCCGAGTTGGTCAAATGCACGGGTCAAGGAGAAAAATGGGAAACGATCTTTCTCATCTTTTCAGTGAAGAATCAAGCCTGTTACTAAAACGCAGTAGACCATTGACCCTGACCATGTCCTCCTTGTTGATGGAGAATGAAACCAGAGAGGTTCAGTGGTGGGTGCTGGTTAGCGATTGGAACTTGTACTCTGGGAGATTTGTACCTTCTGTAGAGGGCTACCGTTACAGTAGTCAGAAAGCCATCAGGGACTGCTTAGTCTCTAGATTCTCTCTCTCCCCTTTTAAAAGAAAGCACAGTCTGGGATTCAGCCACAGCAGAGTTAATGATCTTGCCTATTTCCCCATTTTTAATTGATGAGGCAAATTATCACTCATGCAATTTTAACCAGGATGTGCGTAGTATAGTTTTTAAGAAAATTTTTAAAAAATGCGATTAATGATTTTTTGAGTTATTCTAAGCTTTGGTTAATTATGGCATCTGTGAGCTGTGTTTCCCCTCTTTCATTTCCTGCCTTCCCATTTCTCTGTTATTGTTAATGTAAATTTAAAAGGTGGTGATACTACTGTAATATTCTTAATAGATGCTTGACAGTATAGTAAGGTGGAAAAGGAATGGCAGTTTTGTCTAATTAAAACTCAGTAATTACTGTTGTAATAGAGTAAGGAGAATACCTCCAGGTGATTAAGCCCTGTTCATTATTTAAGTGATAGAAAAAGCAAGAACCAGGGTGCTAACCATGTGTGTAGACTTAAATTGATGAGAAACATGGGGCCCAGGGCAGTGAAAACTTATGAATTGTACAGAGAAACCTAAAATGCAGAGTGTTTAGCTCAGTATGTGAAGCGTTCTTGCCTAACCAAGAAATGAGAGGCTGAACACAACACAAGACAAATCTGATTGGGGAGAGATACTCTTGGTCTGTCAAGAAAACTGGTAAAAAGATCTGTTAGTGCACACCATCTGACTACTATGATTTACATACTTGTGGATGATGTGTTATTCTGTAACATCTTAGAAGACAAAAATGGGTTTTATAAAAGATAGAAATGTATACAGTGTCCAAGAGCTGGTAATGGACGTTAGCAATCACCTAGTCCAGCTAGATAAATTGAGGCCTGAAGAAGTTCAATAACATATTCAAGGTTACAGTGAGAATTTGTGGCATTCCAGAGTAAAGGCTTACCCTTATGTTTCCATTACACCAGGTGGTTTCCTGGTGACTGTATGCTTCCTCATGAAAATATATTAACGTGCAAATTAATCTGAGTACCAATAGTAACTATATAACATCCAAGTCATTAGCACCACTGACACATTTTAATGTTTTTCTTTATGACCATCTTAGAATTGGCCACAAAAATAGATGAGTATTGCCATGACTTGTAAGAAAGTTTATTTTCAAATTCTTGGGTGCTTCCTATGATCTGTTTCACATAAACTGATTTGATATTATTGCCTCCATGGTCCCTTGCCTATGGCAGACATTACAGTTAAACATGGCCCACTTCTTTTAACATACTTAAGAAGCCTCACTAACTGTCTCAGAAATCTGTTGCCACTCTTGGCCCAGACCTACTTTATACCACAAGGCCTTATGAAAAACTGTTGTCTGTACAGAAATGAAAGACCCAGTTTCCGCTTAGAGAAATAACTTTCCCTGGTCTCCTAAAGATACCCATAGAATGACATTTTAACTCCCCCCTCCCTGTAGCTAAATTTAACATTTGACACATATTCCTGATGCTTCGTGTCACTGAAATTTTTTAAATTTTATTTTAACCTTTGCTCTTAACTTTACTGTTTTGACTTTTGACTGATTAAGGGTCCACTTTAGTCATTTCTTATTTTTCATTTAGTTTTTATTCAGCCCGTACTATTTGGTAGGACTGTTGTAGACTCGGGTTTGAGGGTGGTGAACGAGGCAGGCAGAGTCTTCGGCCTTGTGATACTTTATTATTATTATTTTTGGGACAGAGTGTCACTCTTGTTGTCCAAGCTGGAGTGCAATGGCATGATCTCGGCTTACTACAGCCTCCACCTCCTGGGTGCAAGTGATTCTCCTGCCTCAGCCTCTTGAATAGCTGGGGTTACAGGCGTGCGCCACCAAGAGAGTGAGCCGGTATACATATAACCAATAATGAAAATGATTTCAGCCAATGACAAATTCTGTGAAGAAAATCAGTCAGGGTCACGGGATGGAGAATGAATAGCTTCACAGAAGGGTAGCTGGATGTGAAGAAGAGACCTATTTAGACTGGGCGATCAGAAGAAACCTATTTGACATGCTCGTTTTTTTTTTTGTTTTTTTTTTTGGCAGAGTTTTTTACACAGAAATATAAGACATACTGAAAAATGTACTTTTATAAATGAAGAAATTGATGAATTTTTATAAACTGAATGCACATCCAGCTAACTAGGTACAGATCAAGAAATTAATCATTTAACAAAACCCAGAGGCCCCCTGCTGCTCCTGCCTGTCACTGTCTCCACCCTACAAAGGATAACCAGTCCCCTGACTTATAGCACTGTTTCGTTCATTTTTGTACTTTATGTAAGTGGAATTATACATATGCATATACATACTTGACATTGCTCAGCATTATATGTAAGTGATCCTGGAGATGGTGTTTTTGATATTTGAGCTGAGATCTGAGTGATGAAGGGTAGCCAGCCAGGTGAGACTAAGGGGAAGAGTGTATTAGGCAGAGCAGACAGCAAGTGCAAAGGCCACAAGATGAGAATGAGCTGGGCATGTCAATGTAATTAAAGAGGGGGAAGGTGGTAGTAGACAAGGTCTGAGAGGAAGACAAGGGCCAAATCACATGGAGACCTGCAGGGTCTGGTAAGGAGTTTTCAGGGTTTTAAACCTTACAGAGGCTGAATCCCAGTCCTGGCAGCTAAAGCCCAGGCATGTAATTAATATACTATGCATACCCACTATTATAAATCTAGGTTAGTCTTGCTTTGAAACTTTTAGCAGACTGATGTTCAGTGAATTTAGCAGTGAGAATCTAACTATGGTTAGAAGTCTTCCCAAAGTTCTAAATCCTGGTAGACAGGGGCCATATTGCTGTGTCCACATAGCCAAGTGAACAGACTAGCAAGCTAGTCCCATGGTGCGCACAGAGATGAGTGCTGCCAGTCAAGTCTTAGGGGAAATGTTGGCTGAGGGCACTGAGTTTAAAATGGTTCTTTGTAAGTCTAAGTACAGTATCGTTGTCTCTTAGGGTATTTCCCCTCTTCTATGGCTAGGTGAAGTTCATGTAGCTTGCTTATAGGAGAAGCACTCCCTCTCAGGCCTCCAATTTTATTTTACCTTTTTTTGAGAGACAGACTCACTTTCACTCAGGCTGCAGCGCAGTAGCATGATCTTGGCTCAGTACAACCTCCGCCTCCTGGGTATAAGTGATTCTCCTGCCTCAGCCTCCTGAGTAGCTGGGACTATAGATACATGCCACCATGCCTGGCTGATTTTTGTGTTTTAGTAGAGAAGGGGTTTCACTAAGTTGGCCAGGTTGGTCTCAAACCTCTGACCTCAAGTGAGCTGCCCACCTGGGCCTCCCAAAGTGTTGGGATTATAGACATGAGCCACTGTGCCTGGCCAGGCCTCCAATTTTAGAATCATTGTTGTGTGTTCTCTATGCAGCCCAGAACTTCTGTCCAGGAACTTACAGAGGAATGTATGTTGTCAAAGGAAACTGCTTAAACCCATGCCCCTGCTGTTGTAAACTCAGAAAGAATGGCTCCTGCTTAATTTTCTGCTTTTATGGAAGTGGAAGGAGAAAGATGGAGGCATGGCTTATAAGTGAAGGGCTAAAGGTTATGTGCAAGTTCTTATCAGCTAAATGAGGCTGTGGCGGCTGTATTGGAAGTTGTGACTTACCTATATCTGCCTCTTGCCTAGGAGAATAAGTATGACTTTCTTCTTTTTTAAAATGAAGTACAGCTACCATTTTTGCTTTTAGAAAAGAGAATCCATCTCAAATAATTTAGATGCTAAACTATTGACCTTTGTTGTGGGGAAGACTGTTAAGTGATAGCTTGTGTCCCAGATTGGTTTTGTTTACTGTAAATGAGCCATTTCTTTTACGGGTGACTGAGTGAGTGCAGAGAGCCAAAGCAGTGAGAACTTTCCTGCCCTTGTACACTGGCCTAGTTCTGCAGGCACAAAGCCAAGAAAGTCACTGAAGTACGGCATATATGGGGGAGGAAAAGAAATTACATAAGTGACCTCAGATCATTTGTCCTTCAACTCTCTTTACCACTCACTCTGCAGTTGTCACTTGATGCATCAGTTTCTGTTACTTGATGGAAAGTTTTACTGAAGAACTTGAGAGATTTGGACATGTTTGAACAAATGATAATGTCAGTACACTAATGAAATTTGGAAATTAATCCTGAGAGTTTGTGAGGAAGGTGGAGGTGATGGAGAAGGCAGTCCAGGTGAATTCATGCAGAGACAGAGGTGAGAGAGCAAGGAAAGAGTAGTTG